GCGGGGCTAGGGAAGGAGGGGGCGGGGTTGCGGGCGATAGGTGCTCGGCCCTTTACCTTCCCTCCCGCCCCAGGGGGCGGGTCCCTGGTATTGGCGCCGGGTTTCAACGAGGACCGCGCGCACCTCCACCGCGCGATTGCACCTGTCAGCCGCCCGCACAGAAGGCCGCGCTGGGGTCCAGCAGAGGGGTTTGGAAGGAGCAGAGCAATGTGTCGCGACGTGCGAAGGAGAGAATGGACACCACCATTCCGCGGCCCGGTGGGTCTGGAGAAAGTGCGGGTACGCTCGTCCTGGGCGGGCACCGGCGGTGCAGCGGGCAGTGGGCAGTGGTCAGCAGGCCATGGCTAGTCCCCCAGACGGACTTGGTCCCCTTGACCCAAAGCTATAATTTCTCGTTGGCTTCTTAGGCTTCTCTTGTCCCGACCATAAACAGAAACTCCAAATCGGATCTCTGTTGGTCGCGCATCAGTCGGTAGGCAGAAGGGGAGACAGGGGAGCCACAGGCTCCCTGCCTGGCACGTCCGTGGCTTCGCACTCACGTTATGCCTTCCAGACCACGGGGAGGGAGGTGACACGACAGATCCCAGATCTCCCTACAGCCTCGTCGTCCCAGAAGGAGCCAGAAGGCCCCACTTCCCGCCCAGTGGCAGAGGCCCTCCCCAGACCAAGGGGACGGTTTGGACAAAGCTGGTCATGTGAACAAGACAGTTCAGAGGGATTGTCCTAATGAGACCCCCCAAACCCAGATGCTGAGGGATGTTTGACTTGAAGTCGCTAAGCCAGGAAACCACCGGGTCTGGAGGTGACGGCTCATGGGTGTGACGGGTTGGAGGCTGGCAGACACTGCACGGCTGGCCGCATGTCGGCGAGAACCTGGTCAGGAGTCGCTCCCATTCACGGGCACAGCGTCTAAACAGGCCTCGCCCGCCCCCGACAGCTGGGGTCGGCCTGTGGGTGACCCGGGACAGTGGGATGCTGCCATGAAGCCCGCAGAGTGACTGCTCCAGGAAGTCTGTCTGTTCCACAGAAAGGTCGCTCGGGTTCACCCGGGAAAGCCCGGAAACGGTTTAAACGAAAGAACAGAAGCCGAGGTGGACACGGTGCCACGTGCCTGGTGAGGACCGTCCCAGCCTGGTGGGACCTGCTCAGGGCAGAGCGCCCTGCGGTGCTGCAGACCGCCGTCCTGTCTCTGAAAACCGAGGGGCGGGCCTAAGTCCTCGCCTGTGAGACGTGAAAATGTCCCCAGAGAAGGCTGCATCGTTGTCTAAGGGAAAATAACCATGAAGTCCCATTAGAGGTCTCCCGGAAGGCAGCGGGGGGCCTTACGCCCACACCCGGGTTCTGCCCCAGGAGCCAAGGAGTGCTGCTGCGTCCTCCTGCCCCCAGAGCAAGGACCTTGGCCCCGTGGGAGGGGGCGCGATGACCAGTAAGAGACTGACATCCTGAGACCGCAGCCTCGCACAGCAGCTGGGCGCGTTGCCCCTGGAGACGCGGGAGCCCGCAGGCCCGCCCGCCAGGGCGCTAGTCTCTGGGTGATTACAGAAAATACCGAGGCGCAGTCTGAGCAAAGGGCGGAAAATGGGGTTCCATAGGCTTTCAGACCAGGGACAGTGACCTGAGCCCAGGGGAATGTCTAGACAGATGGCACGCTGTTTCCTGTGCACGGCTCAGCTCTGGGCGGCCGCACGGGCAGGGGCTTGCGCGGTGAGGTGCCCTGGTACGGCCCGTGCCCATCGGTCGGCAGGCCGAGCCCTCCCCGGGCGCCCCGTCGTCGGTGCCCTGCATGACCGCAGCCAGCTCAGCTCAGATCTGCAGTGGGTGAGGAGCGATGGCAGCAGGTCGCAGAAGCAGGACGCAAACGGCTCGGCGGGCCTGGGCGGCGGCCAGCAAACGCAGCGCGACGTTAACAGGACGCACGCGAAGGCACGCGAGCTGTCCTTCAAACGCTGACCACGGGGCAGTGCGACCCGGCCACCGGCGCCCTGGTGTGCAGATGAGCCAGCGCGCCCCCAGACCCGTGCGGGCGTGGGGACGAGACCCTGGGACAGCCTTAGGCCTCCACGTCGCTTTCTCTCAACTTTAGAGTGTACCTATCTCTTCCTAATGGCAAAATGGGACCAGAAGTATTGAAACACCTTACCACCTAATAAA